ATTAGGAATCAAAGTAATTTTGTATCATGGCTACTCGTACCAATACCAGTCGAAATGACTTGTCAAAGTGTACAAGGGTCCTACAATCTGTTTATCGAACCGGAATTAATCAGTTTCGTACAACTTGTCGCACGTTTCTAGAATTTATACTGCTATCGTTCGATACGATGGCGATAATTGTCAGGAAAATTGCTCACTTTCTTTACTAATTGACGACCACGTGCTCGAGCGTATAATATCTCGCAGGGAATTAGGAGCTTCTCGAGTTTTGAGTAAAAACTTTGGAATTTCGCATGCACGGAGAGCAACGGGAAACAAGAAATTTGGAAACTTTCATATTTATGTAAACAGAAAGTGGGGAGCAAACTTTTTCTCCAACAGCGTGAAATGATTTTCCCGAAATGTTGAGATTTATTCGCTTCGATGAGAAAGGTGACGGAGTCAACGTTTACAAAGTGATAAATTTACTTTGATATCAGCTGCATGGGGTAAGTTTATTCAAAGTAGTCAGAGTTGCTGCAAACTAGGTGCAAGTATTACGATTGACAAGCAACTCTTTCCATCTAAAGCCAGATGCAGATTCATTCAATATTTGCCGAATAAACCCGACAAATTTTCTATTAACTGTACTACGCAACATGGGATTTCTTTTCTAAGAAAGTAATAAATCAATAAATATAGAAGTATTCCATCATTACGTACTTTTTAAAGACCAGTGATTTTGACTGGTTTTGGTAGAAATAGAAATTTGTTTTAACTGTCGGTAGTTGTAGTGTTAAAGAGCGCGAAGTATGTTACGTAATAAATATTTCAACTGTTTTTGCACTCGACTGCTGTTTCTTCTGTTTCTTCTCTACATCGTACTTAAATCCAGTCAACAACTCGGACTTCCTCTTTTCATAATTCGCTGATAATTATAACGAACGTATGCGTTTGTACAACAGCATAATGTCTGAATAGACGCGTAGAGTGAAAGCTATAAATAACGACGTGAGAAGAAAGGACAAGAAGAATTTCAAGAAGAAGACATTTCTGAAGGCAGACTCCTAAATGAGTCAATTGACACTCACTATAATTCACATAATTCTAGATTT